GTTTTGTGTTTATTTTGTTTTGTTTTCTGTTTTTGTGTGTGTTATATCTAAAGACCATTCTACATTACTTAAAAAGAGACAAGGAGATTAAGTAGTTTTGCCTTTCCTTTGTCATTTAATACCATTAGACCACTTTGCACAAATAAGGGGCTTAATCGCTTATGAGTCAATTTCTTGATCTGAGCATATCATATATGAAACTCTACTACCTCAAAGCCTTGGCAATGGCTATTTCCTCAAGTTCAAGGCTGTTCCTGCAGATATTTTCATGGCTTCCTCCTTGACACCATTCAGGCTTTGGGTCAAATGTTATCTCCCGAGGGAGCCCTTTGCTGACCTATTTAAAGGCGTGCCCTCACCCACCATCATTTTCTTTCCTCTTAACTTGCTTTTCCTTCTTTCATAGCATCTATGATTGTGTCTTCCTGGCTTATCATATACAGGGTGGCCATAAAGTTTGTGTGCAATTGAAAATAGTATGCCATTTTAAATTGCACATGAACTTTATGGCCACCCTGTAGATATGGATATATGATAGAGATAGATGTATATGTTAATGTTATGTTAACATATGTTACCTTAAGCTGATTCAGCTTTTTAAATTTACTTACTTTATATCCTTAAAGTTTCTGGACACTTCTCAGCTTTTTTCTCTAGTTACACTGCATTTCTTCTGTATTTTGCCAATAATGGAAGGGCAAAGAGTGCTTATAAATTATGTTTAAAGCCATGAAGTAGCCATTTATCTATTCCTCCAAGGCACTATAAAAATAGTGATTTTATTTATTAGCAGTGACTCTGGATATCTATTTATTATTTATACCTCTGCCCAATTCCAAAAGCCTTTGAAATATCTTAAATATTTTCTTAGCTAAGATTGTAGAGGGCAGGGTCAGAGGAAGAAGGCCTAATATCAGAAATCTTAAGCTGACCGAAGTCATTACAATTGAATACAAACTTTAACTCTGTACTTTCCGGTACAGACTAATGCCAAAGTAATATGATGGCTACATTCCTTTCTTTAGAAAACAAAGGAGATCCACAAGGATATTAAGAAAGATCCATTTTCACTCCTTTGAATATGAAAAATCCTGTGAGTCTTTCTGAGAATGCTGGATAAACTTGCCAGGAAGAGACAGAAACACTGCCCTCTAAAAGAGCAACTGAATTTTGATATTTATCTTCAAGGCTGATTTTCGAAATTCAATAGAATTTTCTTGTTCCTTTTAACTAAACACATTTTTATGTTTTGTGAATATTTTTTAATGTGAGATTTTTTAAAATAATCACTTTATTTCATCAAAAGTTATGTTCTTCAACATATTGAGTTTAACTCGATTCAAATTAGTATTAGTATATATAGGTATTGGTAAATCCCTACAGTATACCAGGACCTATGGTTACTACTTGAAAATTATTATCAAAAAATAATTACAATTAAAAATGATAATTCCATAATCCACATGTTGTCTAAAACTCTAAGAACAAAGCATTCTCTGGTATATATTAAACGTATTATAAAATATAAGGTATTTGTTTGTCTAATAGGAAAATACCTTGTTTTAATCTGATGGCAACAAATAAGAGGAGTATTTTATTTCTGCATCTAGAAAACGGCTCTTGTGCTCATTTGTTTGGTGGTTGGCAGGTTTTAAGAAAAGTCACAGAGTTAAGTAGATTAATCACAGGCTAACAGATTTAAGTCCTCTAATGATCAGCATAACATTGGAGCTATGTATACGTCATAATTTCTTTAAACACCTAAATAAATTTAGCTGACATCATAGCTATAACTATTTTAGGCCATTTCTACATAGTAAGACCTCACTGTAAAATGAACAAATCCTTAAAACTGTCCCAGGTTTTAACTTCCTTAATGCCAGTTGTTGAAGGCTGGGGTCCCCCGCCACCAGACCCTAAGAGTTTAGCTTATTGGAGCTTTAAATTTTTTTAATTTTTTAACTTTGTACATTATTTATTTATATATTTGTTTTTGGACAGAGTCTCACCCTATCACCCAGCTAGAGTACAGTAGCATCACCATACCTCACTACAACCTCAAACTCCTGGGCTCAAGCTATCCTGCTCCCTCAACCTCCCCAGTCGCTGGGATTACAGACATGGGCCATCATGCCTGGCTAATTTTTTTGTTTTTATAGAGACAGGTCTTGCTCTTGCTCAGGCTGGTCTCCAAGTCCTGAGCTCACCCAGTCCTGCAAAGTCAGCCTCCCAGAGTGCCAGGATTATAGACATGAGCCACTCCACTGGTTTGTTGGATATTTCTCAAGGAGTGTGCTTGGGCTCAACACCTGTGCAAGAGGAGAGACTCAGGCAGGAGTGGGCAGAAATGTGATATGAACCCAATGAGACAGTCTCAGCTGACCCCGTTTGGAACTCTGGAGCTAGAATAGTCCTTCAGAGTTCTCCCTCTTTGAATCAAGATGGCCATGACTTTGTACTGTCTCATCAATTAATCACTGAATGGTCTTCCTGGGAAGGGCCATGACCTGGGATGAGGCAGCTCTCTGCAACTGAGACAATCAGTGAAAGGCACCAGCCACTGAAGACTGTTTTCTGGCAATATTCCTTGCTGCTAGGCAACAAATCCTTCATTGAAGGGACTCTGTTGGAAAAAAACAGTGTCCACCAACAAACTAGGCTGATGGCCTCATTTTACTCACATAGCCCCAGAAACATCCAACTGTTGTAGCCTAACAAGGTTTACTTTAGTTAAAAAGTGATTTGAACAGGGGCGGCGCCTGTGGCTCAAAGGAATAGGGCGCAGGTCCCATATGCCGGAGGTGGCAGGTTCAAACCCAGCCCCGGCCAAAAACTGCAAAAAGGAAAAAAAAAAAAGTGATTTGAAGAAGTGACTTGGCTGAATCAGTCTTACATGAGGAATGCTTAGCATCTCCATGTAGAAATATCCTGACGGTCACTGTCTCTATTCATTAAACAAATGAACCAGAAACTGGATCTCACCAAATGACCTCTAATTGACAGAAAGCAAAAAACTTAGCAATTTAGTTAAAAAAGAAAAGTCCCAGTTAAGTCTCAGAGTCATAAGATGCACAGTTTAGTTTCCTACGAATTTTACAAGATAGTGCAGCAAAAGCTGCATTTTCAGAAAGCTCACTCTGAGCCACTTACATGTTCTTAAATTTAGAAAAAAATTAAACACTATGCAATGTTTAGTGGGGCAGAAAACTGATATAGTGGAAAGAAATTCAACAAGGGTTTGAACAATATTCTTTTTTCCTTTTATTAAACAAAAACTCAGGCTCGGTGCCTGTGGTTCAAGTGGCTAAGGAGCCAGCCACATACACCTAAGGTAGTGGGTTCGAATCCAGCCCAGGCACACCAAAAACAACAATGACAGCTGCAACCAAAAAATAACCGGGCATTGTAGTGGGCGCCTATGGACCCAGCTACTTGGGAGGCTGAGGCAGGAGACTCTCTTGGCCCAGGAGTTGGAAGTTGCTGTAACCTGTGATGCCATGGCACTCTACCCAGGAGGATGGCTTGGGGCTCTGTCTCACAAAAAAATAAAATAAAAACTCAAATACTATACCCCAGAATGTACTAACTCGTTCTGCCACTTAAGGTTTGAAGATAAAGCTCTTTTGTAATCCAAATCATTATAAAACAAAATATCCAGTGGCATTAATTAGTATATTATTTGCAGACTAATTCTGAAAACTACAAAGACTGTTACTATTCTCACTCTCCCTTTCTTACCTCCCATCCCTTGTTCTGTCTCACTTATTTTCTGAAAATTAGGATCCCCCCCAAAACTCAAGCATCAATTATTACATATTATGACATTATATGTATAACATAAAAATATAGTATTACATATAACATTAAATATGTATAATAAATATAAATTTAAGAACTTATTAGAACTAACAATAAAAATGAAAATACCAACAGTCTCTCATTCTCAGATATTACATGAAAAGCTATTTGGTGATAAATAGTTCTCTCAAAAAGGGTGGCTATACATCAGTAAATCATTTGATTTAATTAACTTTTCTTTTTGTTTTGGTTGATTTAATTAATTCATGTTTATTTAAGGTATCCTGCAAGCTCATGGCTGTCATGATGCGGTAGGTAACAGCCATAGCTACTGGTGCTTGTTGACTACAAGCTGCTGGGTTGAGCACTGCTTATGTTAATTTCAAAAATATAATTTCTCTAAGAAATTGACAGTAGTGGAGAAGAAAATGAAAGGATATAACTCTAAAAGCAAAAAGGGTGAAAAAGAGAGAAGAATGTTTAAAAGCATTAGGGCCTGCACCTGTAATCACAACTACCAGAGAGGCTGAGGCAGGAGGATCCCTGGAGGCCAGGAGCCAGGAGTTGGAGGCTGTTGTGAGCTATGATCACACCGCTGCACTTCAGACTGGGAGACAAAGCAAGACTTTGTCTCTAAAAATGTTTTTAATTAATTTAATTTATAAACAAACAAATAAAATAAAAGTATCAGAATCTGTGTCAGATAAAATGGCACTGGACATAGACCTTGAGGTGTAGGCTTTTAACAGCCTGACCAGCTTAGGCTCTCTGATTATTTATGGTACTATTCACACGTGAAAAAAGGAAGTGAAAATTAGATGACAATTCAGATCAAAGAAAGCAACTTAACCATCTGGCAATGAATCCAAAGCTGGTAGGGGAAATTATTAGACTACTCACCTTCACGCTGGCTTTTACGTTTAGTGTGTAGGCACAGTTTTATGTGTCCATAAAAGCAATCTCATGAATACTACAACAGAAGTAGTGTCTCCGATGTTAACTTCACACTGATCTGCTGATGATGTTTTCAAACATCTTTTGAGTTAAGTCAAAAGGGTTTGAAGAATGCCAGATTTTATGAAGCAAAACTACGTGCCCAATGTCATTCAAGGATAAAACTAAACAGAGTCCAATTTTGTACCTAGGTCCAGAGGTGATTCCAGCAGAACTTGTGAAGAGCCACGAGGATGCGCCAGTGAATGATGAGTAGTATCTTCTGTGGCAACTCTTCAGCTAAGATGAGCGTCAACGAAGTATCGGCTTTCTCGCTGACTCTGGAGCAAAAGACTGGCTTTGCTTTTGTCGGGATTTTGTGTATCTTCTTGGGACTTCTTATTATCAGATGCTTCAAAATCCTATTAGACCCATATAGTAGCATGCCTTCTTCTACCTGGGAGGATGAAGTTGAAGAGTTCGATAAAGGGACATTTGAATACGCACTCGCGTGAGAGTTTCAGCGTTAGGCGTTACAGTTGTGCCGAGGGGACATGTGGTGGATACATGTGTAATTACCTTGAGTGTGCGGGAGAGCGGTTCATTTAGTTCAACAAATTCAGTAAACATCTGTGATTAATTTATCCACCATGCTGTGTAAATAATAAATCATCACTGGAATTCGTCATTTTCCTCTGTCCCCACATGGAGGTTTCTAATGAATGGAGCATAAGGATTGGTCCAGCCATAGATACCATCTTTATTTTTATCTCAAACATCTGCCTTGAATTTCTGCTTCCTTTCTTGTGCTAACAAACTATGCTAGAGCCTTCCGGCTTTCTCCCCTCTGCAAAGCTCAGGAGTCTTCTCTGCAGTCCAGATTCAGGCGCCTTTAGCTTTAGCAAATCAGATCCTAAATGGAAGGAAACTTTCAGTCCAAGGAATAAATAGAATATGATTCTTCTAATTATAGCCATAGGTCAGAAAGGTTCACAGGTAAAGAAAACTCAAAAAAACTAACACATAAACCCTCCAAGTAGCCATAGGACCTGAAAGTCCCCAAATCTCGCAGAGCTCTAACCTGACTAGTTCTCCTCCTTGTTAAGTCTCTTGCAATAAAATTTCATAGCTTGAGGTTGAAACCAGACCTGCCTCATACTTATACTTCCTCCCCTACCCCGTGTATAAATAGAATTAAAAAGGGAGTTTCTGGCCTTAGTGGAAAGACGTCTGTACCAGAAACAAGAAGTACAGTCTGCCACCATTACAGCCATGCAACCCTGGACAAGTCCCCAACCTCTGTGGACTTCAGTGAGAGAGCTAACTCTGTCAGTCTTAGGGAGAGGATTTCTAATGTCTCACTCTTCGGTGAGAGAGGATTGCTAATGTCCTTTTCAATTTTAGTGCCCTATGAATGGTACAAATGTACCTGGAAACCCCAGAGATAGGAGATAAGGGAGTGATTTATGATATCATGAAAAGCTTTTCAGATTAGGAGTCTAAACTCAGAGATTTGAATTCTAATATTGGCCCAGCCAAGAGCTAGCTGTATGACCTAGAAGGTGTCCCCATCTGTAAAACAAGGGTAAAGAAACCCCTCCTGAATATCTTCAAGAATATTGGGAAGATTAATGAGATAGGATGAATGACAAAGCAATTTGAAAACTGTAAAACAGTGTTTAAACATATCTTGTTATCATTTTTTATTATCCTCATCACCAGTAGTAATAGAGATTTACAAACCCTAAGAAGCAATGGCTTTTTGTGAGTTAATCTCCCCTGTCTTCATTCTCTTTATTTGAGAAATGAAAAGACTGTCTGTGAGCCAGAATGGAAAAATATGGCAGGAGACAGATAAATGCAAAAATATTTATGCCACTTGAGGACACAAAACTGACAAACATACCAAGAAGGAATAACACTAATATTTATGGAGAGTTAGCACCAAATGACGTTCATTCCTTTCATTTGAAACTGTGATCCAACCATTGAGTTTGGGACGACTATTTCCATCCTGTTGTCTTTCTCTCAGTTTCACAGAGGACGAACTGAAGTTGAGAGATCAAGTAACTCCCCAAGGTCACCAAACTAGGGAACACTTGCGTTAGGAATTGAACTTGGGCAGACTAATGTCTGCTTTATTCCTAGACACTGTCCTCAACACTTCTACCTACCTTATAAACATGATTACCGCTCTGGTCCATGGCAGTCCCAAACCAGCTGTCTTACTGAGATTCCTTGATGCTTTCTATCTCAAAGTATGTTTAGAATATATCTGTCTTGTCTGAGGATCTTCTGGACCAAACCCTCATCTCAAGGAGGCTCTTTGTACCCAGGTGGTGTAAGAGTATAGGCCTAGAATACCTCTTAGCCAGTTAGTAATTTGGCCTAAGAACACCTCATTGGGCCAAACTTAGCTGAACACACTGAAAGTTGTATAAGCCAGGAGATTAGGCATCTCTTTTGTGACTAAGGCTTATAAAGTGTTCTCCAGGATATGCTTCCAAGTAACAGGTATGCCATTCATCTCCTAGAGAATGGCATCTCCTTTTGGTGCCATTCACCCACCAAAGCCCTCCATTTTGGTGACTAGAAAAAAATAAGGCCAGATATATTTTTTTGTTCATTTTTATAAAATGTAAATAGCCCCATGAGGCTAATGGCTACTTTTTAAAATTTTTTTTATTAATTATTTTTTGTTAAACCATAACTTTGTACGTTGGTGCATTTATGGGGTTCAGGGTACTGCTTCAATATACAATGTGAAATGCTTACATTGAACCAAGTAACGCATCCATCACAATTACACTCATTTCTTAATAGTTTTGAAATGTATCATTGCATCATGCACATTAGGTGAAATCCCCCGAATACCCTCCCTTCTCTCATATCCCTCTCCCCACCCCTCTCTCTCCTCTTCCCTTCTACTTTATGGACTATAGTTATGCTTTGCCATTTGTATGAGTGTGCAGGTGGTTATATATTGATTTCATAGTAGTATGGAGTACATTGGATACTTTTTTTTCCATTCTTGGGATACTTTACTAAGAAGAATATGTTCCAGCTCCATCCAGGTAAACATAAAAGATGTGAAGTCTCTGTTAATTCAAAAGAAGAAAGGCTTCTAAAATCAAAAAGCAAGAAAACTTTATGAATTCTGAGCACAGTTTCTGAAAGTTCAACACTCACAAGCTATTCCCCAACTTCACAACATTATGATTTCCAGTTCCACTAAAGAGAAATTCTATTAACCAAAATTATTTTTATCCATGACTTTTATTCATAATCTAATGTGTACCTTAATTTGGGGGAGAGGTGGTTCAGGGGCAGGCAAGAAGTGTCAACATCTGTAACTTCAGTTTAACATAAAAATTATGAAAGGCTGGATACAGTATGGATATAATGTGGAAATTTTATTAAATGCTAATTCTCCAGGAACAGAGATTCAATGCCATAGCCAGATTAACCTCTACCTTCCCCTTACCAAGAGCCTTACCAAGGAGGACAGAAGGAAGCACAGAGGCCGCTACCTCCAGTCAGCTTGCACCTGTTACCACCCACCTATCTGAAAGGCTTAAATCAGGTTCCCCTTCCAAGGTTGGCTTTATAGATGATGTAATTTCATCCATATCCCCCAAACCATCTCCCATCGGCTCCAGAATTCCCTTAATAAAGAACAAAGACTTTCATTTCACAGTTCCAGATAAAAGGCTTAGAATGGAAATGTCTGGTTGATATAAGACCCACACTAAAACTAATTCGCACTACACTGAAGTCAGGCAGTCAGTCAGAAGAAAAAGAAATTGGTATCAGAGGCATTCACAGTCTTCCATGGAGGGAAACACTTACAGAATAAATAGGGGCCTCCTGAAAGGGTTAGAAGACGTTAGTTCACAGTTCCTGTCCTGGTCCAACAAGCGGAGTTTGAGAATCCAGTCCTGAACTAAACAATCAGCCTCTTCCAGTGGAGTCTGCTGATTAGGGGCTATCTCCTAAGCCTAAATACCTCCTATATGGGTAGTTAGAACCCTTTGTTGAGCAGATAAATGCCTTGTACTGGTGGCCTTTAAGAACAGAAGGAGTTGGCTCGGCGCCTGTGGCTCAAGTGGCTAAGGCACCAGCCACGTACACCTAAGGTGGTGGGTTTGAATCCAGCCCAGGCCCGCCAAACAACAATGATGGCTGCAATCAAAAAAAAATAGCCAGGTGTTGTGGCAGCCACCTGTGGTCCCAGCAACTTGGGAGGCGGAGGCAGGAGACTCACTTGAGCCCAGGAGTTGGAGGTTGCTGTGAGCTATGCCCCAGGGGGACAGCTTGAGGCTCTGTCTCAAAAAAAAAGAACAGAAGGAGTTTAGCTGCATACTTGTAATTCTGTCTCTGTTTCTGATATAACCTCATGACAATAGCTGGGCTGATTAGCATGACATTTACCTAAGGAGTTTTAGTTAGATATTTCTGGACTCCTTTATCTCCTTGTCTGTTCACTTTCTATTCTAGTCTCTAACAATTTTTGGAATCTTGATAGTGGCTAAAAGTCTCCAGCCAATTGTAAAAAATGCTAAAATAATAGAAGCAAAAACTGTATAAAAACTGTTTATGTTCTAAACTCTATACCCAAATTAACTCATTTATTCCTTATAATAACTTGACAACAAGGTAGGTACCATTATTATCCATATTTGCATTTTGAGATGAGAAAATGAAGGCACAAAGAGATTGAGTAACTTGCCTGAGTTCACACAGATAGGAAGTGGCAAGGCCAGGGTATAATTGAGCATTCCGACCCCAAAGTCTTCATCTTCACTACTACCTTAGACCATAACTGAGCTACTCAGACAACTGAAAATCACTTAGATGGTTTCTTATAAGACACGAGGAGGACCCATTCAATCATCCTGATTGAAAACCAGTGACAGAACCCGCAGAGAGGAATTGGTTGTGCTGTGTTAATAATCACCTACTCAAAGATCTGGGGGAAGAAACCTTTTCTCAACAAACCTCAAAACCAGATTTGATGAAAAATGTTTTTCCATTTGGAGACAAAAAGGTCATTTAGTAATGCCACTGAAAAACAAACACCCAGTTTGATTCCTGCTTGAAACAGTTTTCCTACCAGGCAGAAATATTTTCCATAAATCATTGATTTCACTCTCAATCTGCTCATTTCCCATGCAGAGACGAGTCAAGGTCATATCTACTGCAAGCAAGATAAAATAATTTCAGTTACAAAGTATAGAAATTGTCTCTGAAGAACTATATTTGGTCCATGTACCAAACACTAGGATGCCTGTGGAATAAGATACAGTCAGACTCAATGTATTTAGCCCCAAACAACTAAAACAATATTCACATTTGGGGGGATGATGT